AGTGCTAACCATTGCACCTTTGGTTGTCATTCCTGGCAGTGTTGTGTTTATAGATATTTCTTGGTGTTGCTACATTCTGAATTGTTGTTTACTAGATTCAGCATTTGTTGGCGATGGTGGTTTGTTGGTAATGGCATTTGTTGGTGATGGTGGCAGCATTTGTTGGTGATGGCAGCAGCGTTTGTTGGTGGCAGCAGCAGAATTTTGGTGCAATTTCATTTTTGTAGGTGCAATCTCTTTAGTAATGTTGTTTCGTTGATAGTTTCTGGTGTGTATACTGTAATCACTTGTTGGCTTTTTGCTATTCTAATTTTTTTGTGATCAATGTTGGGCTTTATGATGATAGGTAATAGATTAAAGGAGTAAGTCTTCTCAACATATATGTTTATACAAATCATCGTGAGTTCATTCTTAATGCAATAATGTTTAGATTAGGGTTAGCTAGTATGCGAGTTTAAAAGTCTAGAATCACCATTCTAAAAAATTTTGCTGACTATATGATTTTATTAAAAAAAACTGTTTCACAATTAGCTTAGGGTTAGGGTCCTACTGGTAGATTATAATGATTTAAAGAGCTAAAGTTATATTAAAATTTCATGAGGAAATTTTTTGTTAGTACTCAGAAGGCATTTTCATATGCAAAATTTTAAGCTGCAAGTATTTTTGGTTGGTTTTTTTTTGCTTCTTTTATATTAAACATGATCTTAAAATCTGCTGGCTAGCGAAATTAATTAGAGTAGTAATTTAACTGCTATTATACAGATTGGGCTAAAATAAGTGTTAGAGTAAGTATTGAGATATTATGTGGATTATGTAACCGGTGATTTTTACTCCGATAAAAATTAGAAATTTTCTATTTTTTATTTATATATATATTCAATATTTATTTTTCAAAATATATATTTAATTATTTATATATTTATAAATTTAATTATTTATACTTATACAGTCAAACTCCTCTATAGTCACACCTTCAAGATACAAAAAACCATGATTATAAAGAGGTGTAACTAATATAGAGGTATTTTCTATATAGTTATAAATAATTGGTAAAAGTAAATTTATAATTATACAAATTTTGTGACT